TTCTGCTGCGGCCGTCTCTGTTTAGTTTCTGAGGCAGTGTGAGGAAGAGAAGCGAAAATGTCTTTGGGAACGTAATGTATATAGGAGTGTTTAAATCCTTGCGATTTTCCTTTGTGTTCAGCTATAGAAGACTTTTCTTGATCTACGGCAGGCACATATAACTCGAACTTTAAATGATAAAGATACATTTGGATCGACAGAGAATGTCGGAAAAGGTTAATTTTAAAAAATATTTCCTTACGATCAGGTGATTTAGTTACAGTTGTATGTACCACGAGTTCATTGTTACCACCTTTCCGCCTTAACTTTCTCTTTTGCTTGTCGCGCTCCTAATTCTACTTTCAAAGTCGTCGTCAACAGACAAGAATTGCATTCAAGTATATCCAGCATTAAATAATAAAATTACTACTACGTAGAATTTTCAATTAACATTGCCAGCCGGGAATTTCTTGTCTCCCGGAATGTTGTAAAAAAGCCCAAGTTACGGAATTTACGCGATTATTTCTTTTGCAATAGCAGTTATATGGTCAAGGGGTGGTAAGTGGAAATGACGTAATTATATACTATTTTGAGAACGTTAGCGATGTAGTTTAACGTGTGCTTTTTACTAGAACTTAACGAACGGGTTACTATTACGAGAATTCTAGTTGAAGTCATCTGATATTCATGGGGACACGAACCATATTATAACAAAATTTCTTTTAAACAGTATTATCCGAAATACTTTGACCCGTTCCCAGACTTTCCGCAAATGTCTTTTGATATTCACTGGGATAAACTGGATTCCGAAGTAGCAAAGAAAGTTCAGGATGCACTCAATTCTCATTTTCGTTCAGCGATCGATAAACCTTCCTTTATAGGCGATATAGAAATAACAGACTTTTCCTTCGGTACTGTTGCTCCTCAGGTAGAAATCACAGATATAACAGATCCCTTTGCTGAGTTTTATCTTCCCGACGAAGTATTCTCGGAGAATGATAGCTCAGTAGCCGGGGATTTCTTGTATTATAGTGAAGTGTATGAAGATGAAGTAAAGCAGGATAC